TCTCTTTCTTATTTCTCTTCTTTTCTTCTCTCTCTTACTCTTTTCTCTCTCTCTTTCTTCTTTCTTTTTTCTCTCCTCTTTTTTTCCTTCTTAATTCTTGACTGCTTTGGTTGGCTGTTGCCTGGGTGCGCCGGGGGTCGGGGGGTGGGGGGTGTGCTTGGTGGCGGTGGTCAGGTGGGGGGGGGGGCAGGGTGGCGTGGGCTGGGTTTCGCTTTTTTTTGTTGTTTTCGGGGATTGGGGGGGGGCGGGTGGGGTGGGTGGGGGTGCGGGGTTTGCGGGGGGGTTGGTGGTGGGGTGGGGTGGGGGTTATTGGAGGGGGGGTGTGTGTGGGGGGGGTTTGGCGGGGGTGTGTTATGTGGGGCGGGGATGTTAGGGGCGGTTTGGTGGCGAGGTGTGTGTGGGGTGGCGGTGGGGGGTGACGNGAGGGAGGTGGGTGGGGGTGAGGGAGTAGGGGTGTGTGATGGGAGAGGGAGTGGAGGAGAGAGGTGGTGGGGGGAGGGAGTAGGGGAGAGGGTGGGAGTAAAGGAGGGAGGTGGTGGGGGGAGTGATAGGGGAGGGAGTGGGGGAGAGAGGTGGTGGGGTGAGGTAGGAGGTGGTGGGGGAGGGAGTGGGGGAGAGTGGTGGTGGGGTGGGGGCAAGGGGAGGGAGGAGTAAAGGAGAGAGGTAGTGGGGTGAGGGAGTAGAGGGAGAGAGGTGATGGGGAGAGGGAGTAGGGTGTGTGTGATGGGGAGGAGTAGGGGTGTGTGATGGGGGAGGGAGTGGGGGGAGAGGTGGTGGGGTGAGGGAGGGAGGGAGTAGTGGTGTGTGATGGGGGAGGGAGTAGGGGGGGAGATGCGATGGGGAGGAAAGAAAGAAAGAGGAAAAAGGAAAATGAAGGCAGGGAAAAAATAAGATGTGGGAGAAGGAAGATAGTGCAAAGAAGAAAGAATAAGAAGAGTTGATATGAAAGGAGAAAGAAAGAGCAAATGGAGAAAGAAGGGAGAGTAAAAAAATTATATCAGAGTCAGAGTAAACATTAAGAAATACAACTTTTCAATAACAATTCAAGGTAGAAATAATAATAGTAATCATTATCATTTTGATCATCATAGGAGCATAGCAACAATAAAGAAAACTCTTTTACAGATGCTTTTCTATCACTGCTACTATCAATACTAACGTTTCTATTAGGGATATGACAGTAACGGCAACGATTATATCAATGCTCTCTCTGTTGTAATAGTTATCATTAACGCTACTATTACTGTTGATAATAATTCTGATTGTATTGATACTCACAAAAACGAAAGCAATAAAAACAAAATCCTAACGTTACTTCCTCTAATCATATCACCAACAAAACTTATCATAACAAACATAATACAATAACAAAACTTAAAAAAAAAAGCTTGAGACCATCACAACGGAAGCAAAAAACGAAATCAGATGCTGGTTCCTCCACAAGCCACTCACAGAAATAGACAGCGAGGTAATCCTGAGTATCGATAAGCGTGTAGAGAAGCTGTCTGTTGATGTTCTCAATGGTGTCTTCGTGCCTCTGCTCGATCAGCCACTCCAGCACATCCTCCTCGGCTTGGATGTCACCTGTTCGGGAAATGCGTCAGAGGGGGCGGGGGGGGGGGGGGGGGGGGGCGTGTGTGAGTGGGAGGGAGCGTGGGCCGTTGTGTACACAGTGGGTCTACGCTCCCGGGTTGGGTTCGTTTATCGGCTGGCTGCGGTGTGGTATCTAGGGCTATTATTCTTCTGTGTTCGTGGAATTCGTTGTATGCATTGAATTCACTTACAATTACGGAATTCCTGGCAGTTAATTCATTTGGAAAATGGAAAGCTATGAATTATTATATTTCCAAAATACGTAATCATAATTTCAGTTATTGATAGTATGCATACATCCCTATATGTGTGTAAATATATATATATATATATATATATATATATATATATATATATATATATATATATATATAGCATGAAAATTGATGAATTTATTTGTAAAAATCATGTTCTTGGTAGAAGAATTACGCGGTAGAAAAAGTCTTCTCCGTGTCCACAGAACAAAAACGTTAAAAACACGCTGTCATGGAGACGTATATTGTATCACCATATATGCAGCTGTAGAACTAACCTCGCTGACATGGTTTCGAATCTCAGAGTAAGCAGCTTAAAGACTAATTAAGTAAGACTAAGACTAAAGATTAAGTAAGCAGCTTGAAGACTAATTGAGTGTTGACAGTGAGGATTTACACGTAAGGGTCTTACATTGCTCAGGAAAATACTATCTTTGTACATTGACCAGGTCATTGTATCAGCAAATAAAAATATTGGCTAATATGACGTATTTGTCAATATTTCTAAGATCTTGTCAACATCAGCCAAGTTCTCATTAAAATATATAATCATTCCTGATAAAAAATATACATATATACATATAATCTATTTCTATATATCTATATATCCATATATATAATATATATATTATATATATATATATTATATATATATATATATATATATATATATGGTAATGGTAATGGGGACTCGGTAGTCTTAAAGCCACATACTCTGGGGTTCATCCTGTACTAAGGGATCGTATCTTCGTCAGGCCAGTTAGCCACATCGCAGTATCATTGCGTCACTGCATAATTCCACCACAAATCATATCCAGTGCCATTGCCTAGTGACAAAGAGCAAGGCAGTCAGTGCACTCATTCCTCGGGGAGAAATCTGATTGTGAAAGAGGATTTCACACTGGAAATGTAGTTTGTAGCGTTCTAAGCCATTAAAGAGACCAAGTATATGAAAGAATCTTGACAGTTATAAATGACTATATACTTGGTGATTCATATTGAAAATGACTTTGTGTTCCTCACTGTGCCATGGGTCTCTCTAGGACAGCGGAAATCTGCTGCAGCTTTGGCTCATCTTGTCGACCCCTTAGATTCCTCCGTCAGAAATTGTCCTATAGGTAGTTCAGTTCGGCAGAGTTGTCTATGGCTTCAGACAGGGCCATTCCAATGATGGAATCCTTTCTGAACAAGTGTAGAGAGTCAGATGTTATCTATGACAAGAAGTTATAAGCCAAGGTCGGATTCGAACCTTCGCTTCTACGCACCTTGATCCGCAGGCGCACAAAGCAGATGAGCACCATGCAGGTAAAAATACTTTCAATGATATTGCAATTACTGTACTGAGTCCATGAATTTGTTGAACAGAATGAAGATAGAGCCACCTGCGCGTATGATCGGTTCAAAACCGATATCCATCCGGGACTTGCTTAGTACGCCAGTGATCAAGGTGCGTAGACTTTTGCAAACAGGATCGAATCTGACTGTGGGTTACGATGAAAAGTTTGCGCAAAGCAGGTGACACACACAGAATTTTGTATCACTTCCAGTGTCCAAATCAACGGCAGGGAATGGACATATCTGCAGCAATGTTAGCATAAAATATCACTATGAAAATTAACTTCATTCCAATAGGTATGACATGTTCTTGATTCAGAGTAGCACCATCTGCAGACACACTAAGTCTGCCATACCAAGCATCTTCGACTGTGGCCCCGGCTGGGAGAAGGTGCGAACTGTCCTGTTCCACATCACTCCCCCTTTACTTCGAATGCGCACGGAGGGAATCTGTCATCACATTTCCTCCACTTGGGAAAAACTTTCCCAACAGGTCCAGCCAAGAATCCTGTTCATGTTTCTTATACATACATACATACATATATGTATATATATATAATATATATATATATATATATATATATATATATATATATATATATATATATATATATATATATATAGAAAAATCATCAAGCAACATATAAAACTAAAATAATAAATTAGCAACAACAACAACAACAAAAAAGAAAAAAAAAAAGAAAATGCATCTCACATCCATGCGCAATTGAAATCTCTCACACAAAACTGTCAAGATTTTGTCCAAATACAAAACAAAACAAAACAAAAAAAGGAATAAATGAATAAATACAACAAAAAAGGGAGAACATCGCACAAGGCCCATGCACAGAAGCAGGGTGAAACAATGCCCACACACGTCAAAAAAAATCCTTACAGGTTTACTACAGGATGAGTTCTTTGAGCAGCAAACACAAGGTCAATTTGTGACAGGTTACTGTGTGGAAAGTTTACGTTTAAATCTATACTAATATCATACAAAGTAGGATACTCCAAGGTTACTGATTAATCAAATGGTCAACTTATCGAATCAAAAATTTCATGGAATGGAGACAATCAAGGTAAACTATTCAGAGGTTCGTGAAAACTGCAAAGTCATCGTGACACTGCAGTTCGGATGAGAGCGATGTGTTGAAATACGCAATAAGTTCTCAGGATTTTCTTTAAAAGACAGGAATCCAAATCAATTCTTAAAAGCAGATTGCTACTCTTAACGACTGCAAGAAAATATGCAGATTTCGTGACATTTCTTCGTTATTATGGCTGTACTTGTCAAAGGGAGTTGGTAGGGTCGTCAGAAGTACATGAAAAGTGGATACATTTTAGACAAAGGAGGCCAAACGCCACAGGATGAGGAGGAGAGGTCTGTCCTCCCACGGCTCCGATATATTCCCCTTCCTCTATTTTTCTCTCTTTTTTTATTTTCATTTTCACCTTCGTCTTCTGCGTCATCTGTAACGTCGTCGTCGGTTTCTTCGTCCTCGTCCTCATCCCCTCTTCGCCAACGGCCTCTTCCTCTTCCTCCTCGTCATCCTCGTCCTCTTCCTCAGCTGCTTCCTCTTCCTCTTCCTCACCTTCATCCTCGTCCTCTTCCTCATCTTCGTCCTCACCCTCAGCTGCTTCTTCTCCTCTTCCTCATCTTCGTCTCATCCTCAGCTGCTTCTTCTTCCTCTCCTCATCCTCATCTTCGTCCTCATCCTCATCTTCAGCTGCTTCTTCTTCTCCTCTTCCCTCAGCTGCTTCTTCCTCTTCCTCATCTTCGTCCTCATCCTCTTCCTCAGCTGCTTCTTCTCCTCTTCCTCATCCTCATCATCGTCATCCTCAACCTCAGCAGCTTCTTCTTCCTCTTCGTCCTCATCCTCAGCTTCCTCTTCCTCATCTTCGTCCTCATCCTCATCCTCAGCTGCTTCCTCTTCCTCTTCATCTTCGTCCTCATCCTCATCTTCTCCTCCTCATCCTCAGTCCTCATCCTCAGCTCTTCTTCCTCCCTCATTCCTCATCTTCGTCCTCATCCTCAGCTGCTTCTTCCTCTTCCTCATCCGTCCTCATCCTCATCCTCAGCTGCTTCTTCTCCTCTTCCTCATCTCATCTTCGTCCTCATCCTCAGCTGCTTCTTCCTCATCCTCATCCTGCTTCTTCCTCCTCTCCTTCCTCATCTCGTCCTCATCCTCATCCTCAGCTGCTTCTTCTCATCTCATCTATCCTCATCCTCAGCTGCTTCTTCCTCCTCATCCTCATCTTCGTCCTCATCCTCATCCTCAGCTGCTTCTTCCTCATCCTCATCTTCGTCCTCATCCTCATCCTCAGCTGCTTCTTCCTCCTCTTCCTCATCCTCATCTTCGTCCTCATCCTCAGCTGCTTCATCCTCATCCTCATCCTCAGCTGCTTCTTCCTCTTCCTCATCTTCGTCCTCATCCTCAGCTTCCTCTTCCTCATCTTCGTCCTCATCCTCATCATCGTCCTCATCCTCAGCTGCTTCTTCCTCCTCTTCCTCATCATCGTCCTCATCCTCATCTGCTTCTTCCTCCTCATCCTCATCCTCAGCTGCTTCTTCCTCTTCCTCATCCTCATCTTCATCTGCTTCTTCGTCCTCATCCTCAGCTGCTTCTTCCTCCTCATCCTCATCTTCAGCTGCTTCTTCCTCCTCTTCCTCATCCTCATCTTCGTCTTCATCCTCATCCTCAGCTGCTTCTTCCTCATCCTCATCTTCGTCCTCATCCTCATCTGCTTCTTCCTCTCGTCCTCATCCTCATCCTCATCTGCTTCTTCCTCCTCTTCGTCCTCATCCTCAGCTGCTTCTTCCTCCTCTTCCTCATCCTCATCTGCTTCTTCCTCCTCTTCCTCATCCTCATCTTCGTCCTCATCCTCATCCTCAGCTGCTTCTTCCTCCTCATCCTCATCTTCGTCCTCATCCTCAGCTGCTTCTTCTCTCATCCTCATCTCGTCTCATCCTCAGCTGCTTCTTCTCCTCTTCCTCATCCTCATCTTCGTCCTCATCCTCATCCTCAGCTGCTTCTCTCTTCCTCATCTTCTCCTCTTCATCTCTTCCTCCTCATCCTCATCCTCAGCTGCTTCTTCCTCCTCTTCCTCATCCTCATCTTCGTCCTCATCCTCATCCTCAGCTGCTTCTTCCTCCTCTTCCTCATCCTCATCTTCGTCCTCATCCTCATCCTCAGCTGCTTCTTCCTCCTCTTCCTCATCTTCATCCTCCTCATCCTCATCCTCAGCTGCTTCTTCCTCCTCATCCTCATCTTCGTCCTCATCCTCAGCTGCTTCTTCCTCCTCATCCTCATCTTCGTCCTCATCCTCAGCTGCTTCTTCCTCCTCTTCCTCATCCTCATCTTCGTCCTCATCCTCATCCTCAGCTGCTTCTTCCTCTTCCTCATCTTCGTCCTCATCCTCATCCTCAGCTGCTTCTTCCTCCTCTTCCTCATCTTCGTCCTCATCCTCATCTTCGTCCTCATCCTCAGCTGCTTCTTCTTCCTCTTCCTCATCTTCGTCCTCATCCTCAGCTGCTTCTTCTTCCTCTTCGTCCTCATCCTCATCTCGTCCTCATCCTCAGCTGCTTCCCTCTCCTCATCTTCGTCCTCATCCTCCTGCTTCTTCTCCTCTTCGTCCTCATCTCATCTCATCTTCATCTCAGCTTTCTTCCTCTTCCTCATCTTCGTCCTCATCCTCAGCTTCCTCTTCTTCATCTTCGTCCTCATCCTCATCCTCAGCTGCTTCCTCTTCCTCATCCTCAGCTTCCTCTTCCTCATCTTCGTCCTCATCCTCAGCTGCTTCTTCTTCCTCTTCCTCATCTTCATCCTCATCCTCAGCTTCCTCTTCTTCATCTTCGTCCTCATCCTCATCCTCCTTCTTCTTCCTCTTCCTCATCTTCGTCCTCATCTCAGCTTCCTCTTCCTCAGTCCTCATCCTCAGCTTCCTCTTCCTCATCTTCGTCCTCATCCTCATCCTCAGCTGCTTCCTCTTCCTCATCTTCGTCCTCATCCTCAGCTTCCTCTTCCTCATCTTCGTCCTCATCCTCATCCTCAGCTGCTTCCTCTTCCTCATCTTCGTCCTCATCCTCAGCTTCCTCTTCCTCATCTTCGTCTTCATCCTCAGCTTCCTCTTCCTCATCTTCGTCCTCATCCTCATCATCGTCCTCATCCTCAGCTGCTTCTTCCTCCTCTTCCTCATCATCGTCCTCATCCTCAGCTGCTTCTTCTTCCTCTTCGTCCTCATCCTCATCTGCTTCTTCCTCATCTTCGTCCTCATCCTCATCCTCAGCTGCTTCTTCCTCATCTCGTCCTCATCCTCATCTGCTTCCTTTCCTCATCTTCGTCCTCATCCTCAGTCTCATCCTCTGCTTCTTCCTCCTCTTCCTCATCTCGTCCTCATCCTCATCTGCTTCTTCTCATCCTCATCCTCATTCTGTCCTCATCCTCATCTGCTTCTCCTCATCTTCTCCTCATCCTCATCGCTGCTTCTTTCCTCCTCTTCGGTCCTCATCCTCATCTGCTTCTTCCTCATCTTCGTCCTCATCCTCATCCTCAGCTGCTTCTTCCTCTTCTTCCTCATCATCGTCCTCATCCTCATCTGCTTCTTCCTCCTCTTCGTCCTCATCCTCATCCTCAGCTGCTTCTTCCTCATCCTCATCTGCTTCTTCTTCCTCTTCCTCATCTTCTCTCTCCTCATCTGCTTCTTCCTCCTCTTCGTCTTCATCCTCATCTGCTTCTTCCTCCTCTTCGTCCTCATCCTCAGCTGCTTCTTCTTCCTCTTCCTCATCTTCGTCCTCATCCTCAGCTGCTTCTTCCTCTTCCTCATCATCATCCTCATCCTCACCTGCTTCTTCTTCCTCTTCCTCATCCTCATCTTCGTCATCATCCTCATCTGCTTCTTCTTCCTCTTCCTCATCTTCGTCCTCATCCTCAGCTGCTTCCTCTTCCTCATCTTCGTCCTCATCCTCAGCTGCTTCTTCCTCTTCCTCATCATCGTCCTCATCATCATCCTCAGCTTCCTCTTCCTCATCTTCGTCCTCATCCTCATCTGCTTCTTCTTCCTCTTCCTCATCTTCGTCCTCATCCTCAGCTGCTTCTTCCTCTTCCTCATCATCGTCCTCATCCTCATCCTCAGCTTCCTCTTCCTCATCTTCGTCCTCATCCTCATCTGCTTCTCTTCCTCTTCTCATCTTCATCTTCGTCCTCATCCTCATCTGCTTCATCTTCCCATCCTCATCTTCGTCCTTCAATCCTCAGCTGCTTCTTCCTCTTTCCTCATCTCATCTTCGTCCTCATCATCAGCTTCATCTTCATCCTCAGCAGCTTCATCTTCATCTTCGTCCTCCTCATCATCGTCACCAGTTTCCTCTTCATCCTCATCAGCTTCTTCATCTTCATCCTCATCACCAGCGTCCTCCTCTTCTTCATCTTCCTCTTCATCTTCATCCCCAGCTTCCTCACCGTCGTCTTCGTCATCAGCACCATCATTGTCATCATCCTCATCATCACCTTCTTCCTCTTCCTCCTCCTCATTATCATCACCCTCCTCGTCTGCCTCGTCCTTATTGTCATCTTCATCATCATCGGCTTCATCCTCCTCATCATTATTAGCATCATCCTCATCCTCACCTACATCATCATCCTCACCTTCATCCTCATCATCACCCTCCTTTACTTCAAGAAGCCTGCGGAAACTCATGCTAATGGCGGGACTCTCAACTGTTTCTGAAATCAGTCACGGCCTCTTGTTGAATTGCAATGATTAAAGTCCCTATGCAACACGATACAAGATGTCCTTGGGTTAAAGGCCAGCGGGACGACCAGCTAGTGTCATTAGAAAGGCTAAGGGGAAGATGGAGGTCTGGATTAGACGGGATTAGGGGTGATTGTGTCTTTTGTTGTAAATTCAACCCTATCGTAAGGTCTGCATCAGAAGGTTGCTAAAGGTAAACTTTGATATTTATTTTTTTAAGGCGTGGTGGTTGTTCTAGTCTTGTGAAAATTAATCTAAAAAAATAGGTACTTCGATGGTGAAAAAGTTGGATGCCAGTGATCTATATGGAGGGGCACCTATGTTAGTAAAGTAGAATAGCGTTAGAAGAGACATATATCTATTATGTCCATTGTACTGCTTTATCAAAATTAATTCTGACGCAAAAGTCTTTAGTTTATAATGTAACATATAAGATAAGAGGATAGGATAGGCTATAGGATGAGAGGATGACAATTAGTAACATGTATTAGTTATACAGTGTATTCTTCACTGAAAAAGCAGTTTAGATTTATCTTTGTTATTACTAATTACTACTTGCTCTTATTTAGACAAAATGACACGTCATTTAGAAAAAATAATACTATTCAAAAATAATTATTCTAGTTAATTAAGATATTATGAGAGTATTTAAATCTTAGACGAACTATATAATTAAAGATTAGTTATAAACTAGGACACCTTGTATCGTGTTTTTTTTTCTTTTTTTCTCTTCTTTTTTTTTTTTTTTTTTTAATTTGGGTTTATCATAAGAAAAGGAAGACCTGGAATGCTATCATTTTTATCCTCGCTTATGAAAAGGAAATCTGATAATATTTGGGATAGAGGAACGTCACTCAATCCAGTTATACATTTCTCTTTCTTTTCAAATTAGTAGCTTATCTCGTTATCTTCTGATATAAAGGCATAATAGAGAAATGTGGATAATGGATTCTACGTTACAAGCAAATTTTATAGTAATGATGATAATAATTATGAAAATAATAACAGTGATAATAATCATAACCATAATGATAAAAATAATAATAAGAACTGTAATAAAAATGATAATGAACAATGATAATAATAATAATAATAATAATAATAATAATAATAATAATAATAATAATAATAATAATAATAATAATAATAACAATGATAATGATAATATAATAATATAATAAAAATGATGATGATAATAATAATACGAACCATAATAATAATAACAATAATAATAATGATAATAATTACAATAAATGATGATATCAATGAATGATAATAATAAAACAATTATAACTGCTAGATAGATAGATATAAATAGAAAAATATATAAATAGATAAATATCTACTGAGTATAGTTCCAGGTCATCCTTGTATAGGTATCGGGGGGAAAACGAAGAAAAATGCTTACTTTTTTCTGCAATTAGCCAAGAAAAGATGCCTCTGTCGTCACCTGGGGATGCAACAGACGTGACCTAATGAGGGACACAGCTCGAGTCAGGTCAGGGGTCGTGTGACTCCCAACGCTTTGCTTTCGTGTTTCTTTGACTTTGGAGGATATTGCCTTTTAACTTCAAGCTGTCACAGTGTGCTTTGAGATGATTAGCTTCCACAAGTTTTGCATTAGAGTGCCTGTTATGACAACTATTTTTCTCACGACTACCGAAGCAAAGCATAAGCACTAAATGAAACTAAGACCTTGACAGAAATTCTAGTTAATTAATACATTATCATCTAAGATGAATAGCAGTTACCTTCCAGGCATAAACAGCAATAGAATGTTATTTATTTATCTCCTTTAGAGTTCAACCAATCATGAACGAGCTTTCAACAAGATTCTAAAGGCATAGCCAATCACAGATGATTTTATAAATATCACTCTCCTGGTCAGCCAATCAGAGTGGAGATCGTAAAGGTTTGGTCACGTGACACCTTAGTTCCGGACTGCTGATTGGCTCCTTGTTGGACGCTGTCTATGCCTCAGGACTGCCACATGCTTAAAAACTAGATATTCTTTAAAGTCTACATTAGTCTACACTAAACATCACCAGTTTAAAATATTTTGGTATTATTCATGAATACTTTCCATGTGTAGATATTAAAAAAATGTTGCTACATATACTATACACGTCTAGCGATAAACTTACAGAAATCACGTTGAATAAGATTTTCCATGTCCATCACATTTTTATTTTAAGACATCATTTCTTAAGATTATTACTATTCCTCTTTATCAACTTCCTTGTTCATTGGTTTTACGACTACTACTATAATGTTCTATATGCCAATTTATTTTATTTATTTATCTTCTAATATGTATCTGTCTATCTATATCTATATGCATATCTATATACACATCTGAATCTATCCATATCTATAACTGAATCTGAATCTATCCATATCTATAACTGAATCTGAATCTATCTATTTATCTGCCTATGTATGTATGTATCTATATGTTTATGTATGTATCTATCTATCTGTCTATGTATCTATCTATCTATCTGTCTATGTGTCTATCTATTTATCTATCTACATTTCACATCTTAATCCGTACTCGGGCACTGTTCCTAGATCTCGTCTATACAAAATATCCCACCGAATAATCAATAATATCGCGACCTCACACCTTCCTTTTTTTCCCTGTCGATCGCAAAACCAAGGAATTTAAAGATCCCGTTTCGATCGACACGGGATCCTCTGACGCAGGTCGAGAACTCACCGTCGTAGATGCTGGGCACGCCGCCCTCGAAGTAGACGAGGGCGGGCAGGTGGCTGATGCCCAGGTCCTCGGCGACCTCCACGTCGTTGGTCTTGACGAACTGGATGCCGACGTCGTCTGTCTCGTCGTCGATGGTCTCGAGGTCTGCCAGGACGGTCTCGCAGGTGGGGCAGTTATCGTCGTCTGGCGGTGGGAGAACGAGGGAGAGTCAGGGTGAAAAGCGCCACTGAAATGCAACGTGCAATACGAAGGGTTACGGGCGCTAATTCTTTGTACTTTGGTCTGGGTGTTGTGGAACTTCGATTTTGCTTTGGGATTTGTTGTGCAATCATGAGGTGGTTTCAGTTACAGTTAAATGTCATGGGATTATGATATACTATCCCTTAAGACTTCATCCAATCAATATCCAGTTTGTTTATAACCCGTTTTGTTGTATGTACCCAATCCATTTTTCCTTCAACCCTTCCTTCCTCCCATTCTCTTTTCATCTATATTCCCTTTTCAGTCTATCCCTTCTTTCCACAAACCTCCACCGCCTTCCCTCTTTTGTTTATTCCATCCCCCTGATTTCTTACTCTCTCTATACACCCTCCTTTCTCCTCCCTTCCCCCCTTCTCCTCCTCCTCCCTTTCCTCGTCCCTCTCCTCCCCCGCAGGTACTCACAGAAGTACACCACGAGATACTCGAAGCCCTCCACGAGGCTCTGGATCATCTGGCCGTCCACCTCCTCGATGATAGATGCTGGTCCTTTGTCCTTGTTGTCGATGAGCCACTCTAACAAAGCCTCCTCGTCCTTGAGGTCGCCTGAGGGACGGGAAGGATAAAAGGATTTTCGAAGTTTGTCGTTATATCTCATACAGCCCGGGGTATCTGAACGTCCATTGAGGCCTTTTTTTAATGTTAAAATACAAAGATAAATCTGTTAGTTAAAACAGTGTCCAAATGTACCCTCGTAGATCTGGGGGAAGCGGTTTCTGAAGTAGACGAGAGCTGGGAGGATCACGACTTCATACTCCTTAGCGATGTTTTCGTCCGAAACCTTGACGAAGTCTATGCCAATGTCATCGCACTCGTCGTCGATGTTTTCTAGCTCGACGAGGATGTCTCGGCTCTTCTTGTCACCCTCGGAGTCTGAAGAGATACGAGAGGAACAGGATGAGGAAGAGCAATGCATATGGTCATGTACAAGTATTGTATTCACAAGATATGCAAACAACACAAACACACACACACACACACACACACACACACACACACACACACACACAAATAGAGAGAGAGAGAGAGAGAGGAGAGAGAGAGAGAGAGAGAGAAGAGAGAGAGAGAGAAAAGAAAGAAGAAGAGAAAGAGAAAATAAGAGCATAGAAAAGAATGAGAGCGACAAGACAGATAAGGAAAGCGCGACACAACTCCCTAAGAGAGAGGCACGACATCCCACTCACAGAAGAAGACGGCGACGTTATCCGACGTGTTGAGGATCCTGTCCAACATCCTCTCGTTGACCTCCTCGATCTGGTTGGGGATCTCGAGGGTGTTCTCGCTCGTCAGCCAAGCGAGGACGGCCTCCTCGTCGGCCAGGTCGCCTGCTCGGTCGTCAGAAAGAGGGAGAGGGAAAAGGGGATGATGAAAGGCTGATAAAGGAAGGGAGGATAATTGAAGGGATGCAAGATAACCCCGATTGAATGGTTCAATGATGGGCTTTTGTTGTGGAGAGAAATCGTATATCTTTTATTGTATTGTTTGTAATTCTGCTAGATATTTCTGACTGTTGTGATATAGAATGTAATTTCAGAAGCATAAAAACCTTATACATGTTGAGTTGATATCATGTTATTGTATATCTCTAACACATCTGCTTTATTTATTGCACAAGAATTTATGAACTGCCATTGGACATTCAAACGTATTTTATATCTTGGCGAACCTGCAAAATATTTTGTCCTAGCACACCCACCATGCTATTGTTTTGCTCCAACCCATAAACCTCTACGTTTCCAATTTTTACACACGCTCGCACAAGCACACTGCCTAGAGCTTCCCCTCTTTTCCCCTCACGTTCCCTCCAAACACACATACGTACACAGACACCCTTTTCACGCACATAAGGTTTCTCCTCCTCCCCCCCTCTCTCAACACGTACACAACGCACACCGCACCTCCTCCAATATCCATACACAAACACCCTTTCCGATCCACACATACACACACAAGCACCACCGTCCCCCCTCCCCTACCCTTTCCATTCCTCCCCCCCCCCCAAACAACCTCCACACATATATCCTTCCCTCCTACTTCACGCGCCCCTTCCACACCCCCTCTGAACAACCTACAAACCCCCTCCTTCCCTCCTACTTCACGTACCCCTTCCACAGCCTCTCTGAACAACCTACAACAACCCCCCTCTTCCCCCCCTCTCCCCCCTGCTTTACCCTTGTACACCACCGGCACCCGTTCCTGAAGAGGGCCAGGGGGGAGGGTCTTGATGCCGTGCTGGTGGGCGAGGGACGTCTCCTCTGTGGTGACGAAGTGCATGCCGTGGTCGTCCGTGTCGTCGTCGATGTTCTCCAGCTCGTCCAGAATCTTGTCGCACTTCTCGCCCTCTCGCACTTTCCGCCTGGGGGAGGGGGTGGGGTGAGAAGGAGGAGGGGGTGGGGTGGGAGAGAGGAGGGAGGATGGGGTGGGGTGAGAGGAGAGGGAGGAGGGTGAGGGGTGAGGGGTGGGCTGAGAGCGGGGAGGGAGGGGTGGAGGAGGGGTGAGAAGAGGAGGGGAGCGGGGAGGAAGGCAGTGTTATTATTGTTTTTTTTTCTGTCATGTCATGATGATACAGATGATGATGAATATATCAATGACGAAAATGGGGGAAAGCAGTTGCAATATATGTAATTAGTGTTAACAACAATGAAAACGTAAATGAAATGGTAATGAACTAATGATAATAATAATAATAATCATAATTCAAGATAGCAACAATGACAATAATCAGTACACTAAGGAATACTAAATAAAAACGAGAGACAATAACAAAAGAAACAACACTCACAAAATAATACCAACATAAATAGAAGTTAAAGCACGATAACAATAAAGAAAAAATAACAACAGTGATAAAACACAATAATAATAATGATAAAAAATAATAACAATAATGATAATAACAATAACAATAGTGTTAAAAATCAATAACAATAATGACAAAATCACAATAATGACAAAAACATTAATATTGATAAAAATAGCAATGACAAAAAGAAACAATAATGAAAATATAACAGTAATGACAATAAACAATAACAACAATGAGAAAAAAAAACATAAAAACATGACAAAAACAGTGACAAAAACAACAAC